TGGTGGGAATCGGCCAGTGTGTTAATAAAATAATAAAATCATTGCTCTTAGAAATTGTATAAAGAAACACAACATATCCCTCCAAACTGTCAATATCCCAAACATTGCAGGCACTGTACTTCCCATTTCCAGGACTCAAGTCCGGCTATATAAAATAACCAATTTCCCTGAATCCCTTCACTAAATATTACCCTGCTCACACTCCAACAGCTCGTCAGGTCCCAAATACCATTCGTCTCCATTCATTCCTATCTAACACGCTCACACACGCTTGCTGGAAGTCCAAGCCCCTTGCCCACAAAACCTAATTTACCCCCTCCCTCCAACCCTTTCGAGGACGACCCCTACCCCACCTTCCTTCCCCTACAGATTTATGTGCTCTCCATGTCATTCTACTTTGATCCATTCTCTCTAAATGACCAAACCACCTCAACAACCCCTCTTCAGTCCTCTGACTAATACTTTTATTAACTCCACACCTTCTCCTAATTTCCACACTCCGAATTTTCTACATAATATTTACACCACACATTGCCCTTAGACAGGACATCTCCACTGCTTCCAACCGCCTCTTCGCTGCAGCATTTACAACTCAAGCTTCACACCCATATAAGAGTGCTGGTACCACTATACTTTCATACATTCCCTTCTTTGCCTCCATAGATAACATTCTTTGTCTCCACATATACCTCAACGCACCACTCACCTTTTTTCCCTCATCAATTCTATGATTAACCTCATCCTTCATAAATCCATCCGCTGATACGTCAACTCCCAAATATCTGAAAACATTCACTTCTTCCATACTACTCCTCCCCAATTTGATATCCAATTTTTCTTTATCTAAATCATTTGATACCCTCATCACCTTATTCTTTTCTATGTTCACTTTCAACTTTCTACCTTTACACACACTCCCAAATTCGTCCACTAACCTCTGCAATTTTTCTTTAGAATCTCCCATAAGCACAGTATCATCAGCAAAAAGCAACTGTGTCAATTCCCATTTTGTATTTGATTCCCCATAATTTAATCCCACCCCTCTCCTGAACACCCTAGCATTTACTTCTTTTACAACCCCATCTATAAATATATTAAACAACCATGGTGACATTACACATCCCTGTCTAAGACCTACTTTTACCGGCAAGTAATCTCCCTCTCTTCTACACACCCTAATCTGAGCCTCACTGTCCTCATAAAAACTCTTTACAGCATTTAGTAACTTACCACCTACTCCATATACTTGCAAAATCTGCCACATTGCTCCCCTATCCACTCTATCATATGCCTTTTTTTAAATCCACAAATGCAATAAAAACTTCCCTACCTTTATCTAAATACTGTTCATATATATGCTTCAATGTAAATACTTGATCTACACATCCCCTACCCACTCTAAAACCTCCTTGCTCATCCGCAATCCTACATTCTGTCTTACCTCTAATTCTTTCAATAATAACCCTACCGTACACTTTTCCTGGTATACTCAGTAAACTAATTACTCTATAATTTTTACAATCTCTTTTGTCCCCCTTCCCTTTATATAAAGGCACTATACACGCTCTCTGCCAATCCTTAGGTACCTTCCCCTCTTTCATACATTTATTAAACAAAAATACCAACCACTCCAACACTATATCCTCCCCTGCTTTTAACATTTCTGTCATGATCCCGTCAGTTCCAGCTGCTTTACCCCCTTTCATTCTACGTAATGCCTCACGCACCTCCCCCACACTCACATCCTGTTCTTCTTCACTCTTAAAAGATGGTATACCTCCCTGGCCAGTGAAATTACTGCCTCCCTTTCTTCGTCGACATTTAAAAGTTCCTCAAAGTATTCTCGCCATCTACCCAATAACTCCATCTCCCCATCTACTAATTCTCCTACTCTGTTTTTAACTGACAAATCCATTTGTTCCCTAGGCTTTCTTAACTTGTTTAACTCACTCCAAATTTTTTTCTTATTTTCATTAAAATTTCTTGACAGTGCCTCTCCCACTCTATCATTTGCTCTCCTTTTGCACTCTCTCACCACTCTCTTTGCCTTTCTTTTACTCTCCATATACTCTACTCTTCTTATAACACTTCTGCTTTGTAAAAACCTCTCATAAGCTACCTTTTTCTCTTTTATCACACCCTTTACTTCATCATTCCACCTGCACCCACTCTCCTATAACCACAAACTTCTGCCCCACATTCTACTACTGCATTTTTAAAACTATTCCAACCCTCTTCAACCCCCCCACTACTCATACTTGCACCAGCCCACCTTTCTGCCAATAGTTGCTTATATCTTACCCGAACTTCCTCCTCCCTTAGTTTATACACTTTCACCTCCATCTTACTTGTTGCCATTTTCCTCTTGTCCCATAATATTTCTTTTGCCCAATTGTGATTTTTTTACATAAAATGGAATCTTGGGGCCTACCTAATACTTAGGGGGCCAAAAGCAACTGCCCTTTTGTCTACTAATCTGCCACTGCAAACTGCTGGTGCTTCTTAGAATCTATCCTCGTCACAATTATTGTTTGATAGCCAAAGTAATATTACTACTGTTTTAGAAACTATCAAGGATGTCTACTGGTTATTCTTATTTTAATTTTTAATACAAGGGAGCCCAATATACAAATGCCCGAGTTCGCACTTATGAACGGGCACTTAGAACTCAATTAGTTTATGAACTCTGATCTACAGTTACAAATGCTTAAAACAGTGTTTTCACTGAGAAAATTTGTTCAGAGTTACAAGAACTTTATAAGTTGAAGCAGCAAGAACCCAACTTATTTGTAAGTTGGGGTATCCTGAATGTGCATACATATGTCCTGGATTTTAGCCTCTGCAGGATACATGCAGTTTGGATAGAGCTTCCTTCTCCAGATGACTGCATAAGTTAGGATGTGAAGTAACTAGCTGAGATAGTTCAGTGATGTCTGGTGTTTCTTCAGTTGCTTGATAAAATCAACATCAAGATTTTAACTAGTATTTTATGATATACAGTGGAACCCCGGTTTTCGTCTGGTCCGGTTATTGTACAATTCAGTTTTCAACCACTTTTTTGGCGAAATTTTCCCATTTTCGTACATCCGCTCGGAAATTGTCCATACCAGATGCGTCCACCTGCCTGCGGGACATGGCCGCTCATACATTCGTGACTCCATCTGCCTTTGTTACTCGTTCAGTGAGCATTACTCCGCGTGTTCATCCGAAACATTTCGTAATAATCCATTGTTTTTTGCTTGTGACTGCTAAATAAGCCACCATGGGGCCAAAGAAAGTTTCAAGTGCCAGAAGGATTTTGAAGGGTTTGAAGCTGACCCTGACGACCCTATGCCTGTTGTGGAATCTATTGTGACTTTGGGGAAGTCCATGGGATTGAAGGTGAGTGGCCAGGATGTGGAAGAGTTGGTGGATGACCACAGAGAAGAGCTAACCACTGAAGAGCTGCAAGACCTTCATCTGGAACAGCAACAGACCTTAGCTGAGGAAATTGCTTCAGAGGAGAAGGAAGAGAGGAGAGAATGTGCCTTCTTCAGCGATTAACGACATTTGTGCAAAGTGGAGCGAGGTGCAAAGTTTTGTGGAGAAATATCACCCTAACAAAGCTGTTGCAAGCCGTGTCTGCAACATGTTCAATGACAATGCCGTGTCCCATTTTAGGCAAATCTTAGAGATGCCAGACACAGGCCTCTCTGGACAGATTTTTTGCGCAACAGGGGTCCAGTGACTCAAGCTGGTCCTAGTGCCAGTAATAGACAAAAGGGAAGTAACCCCAGATAGGGCTTTGATACCTGAAGCCCTTATGGAGGGGGATTCCCTTTCCAAATAATAACCTCTCCTCCCTCTCCCCTCCTCACCGTCTTCCATACGCCAACAAGAGTAAAAGTGATGTTAAAGGTAAAAGTGATGCTAAATGTTCATTTATCCATTTCATTAGTGATTTATATTTATTTCTCATTTATCCATTTCATTAGTGATTTATATTTATTTCTCGTTGTTTTCTGTATGTAAAACTATAGTTATTCTCCATAAAATGTATTTTTTGTTAATATTTTTGGGTGTCTGGAACGCATTAATTGGATTTACATTATTTCTTATGGGAAATGTTACTTCAGTTTTCGTACAAATCGGTTTTCTGCCGACCTACTGGAATGGATTAAAGACAAAAACTGGGGTTCCATGTACATACTGTAGTTGTTTTTATTTTTAACACATTGGCTGTCCCCCACCAAGGAAAGGTGACCCAAAAAGAAACCATTTTGCCATCACTCACTTCATCCCTTTCTGGCCAGAGGTGCAGTGACACTACAGTTCAGGTGCCCTTCCAAACTGCAATATCCCCACCCTTCTTCAGAGAGTGGGCACTGTACTTCTCATCTCCAGTGCTCAAGTCCCAGCTAACCAGTTTCCTCAAACCTCTTCAGAAATGTTACTTTGCTCACACTCCAACAGCACATCAAGTCATAAAAACTAGTTGCTCTCCAGGAGCTTTGTCAAGCCGATATGGTATCGGCTTGACAAAGCTCCTGGAGAGCGAAACGTTGCCACAATAAAATGTCACATTAGTTGCACTTGTGTCCTTTTACTTTACATATTGTCGATAATTCTACCAACATTATCACATGAGACTGAATGAAATCCTGCATCTGAAGCTACTAACTGTGAAAGATTATTACAATAACATTACATGTTATACCTGTTTGAAATCAGGGAGTGTTTTTGTAGACACCCTGTACAAGCATGTGTAGTGTGAACTAAGCAGAAATAGCAAGGTGTACCTGAAACCTTGCACGTTTATGAGATAGAAAAAAAGACACCAGCAATCCTACCATCTTGTAAAACAATTACAGGTTTCCGTTTTACACTCACTTGGCAGGACGGTAGTACCTCCCTGGGTGGTTGCTGTCTACCAACCTATTACCTATAGCATTAAATATGAAATATAAAAATTACACCAGTTCTACTTTAGCATGCAAAGAAGTCTTCACATAACCACCTACCTTTGTGACAGTGTTGAGATAGCCCCAGGATGCGGCATTCTGCACAGACATAATAGGATGATCTAGGCCACACAACATACACACAAGGAAGTCATGGATTGTTCCAGCTCGGTTGAATCTGTAGTTATGGGGCTCATTACATATGACAACACGTGAAAGCCAACACAGGTAGGGATATAAAAAAAAAAGACTAAACATGCACTTTTGTTTAAGATACAGCACAATACAACATTCATATAAGCAGATATTTGCAAATTAAACAATTTTAGCACCAACCTCACCTGGTAAATGTATCAGGTTTATTTTTAATAAACCAGAGTAAAGTTGCACAACCAAAACCAGTTGATATTGCTTGATGGGATTCAGGCTCTGGGAGAGAAGACAGGAACTCTTGCGTACATCGACTGTCTTGCCAAGTGTATAAATTGCTCACTTGATTAATTGCAAATCTGCAAATGATAAACAATGATCCACCAAAATAATTATCAAGAGTACCTAAGAGTAGCCACCTCCACATTGTGAGTTCTAGGTATTCTGGGCAATAACAGGTAGAAAAACTGTCACATAAAATGGTCACATGTTGCTCACAATATGTAAATTGTTTCTAGACCTTTTTTTTAGCACACCAGCCATCTCCCACCAAGGAAGGGTAACCCAAAAAAGAAAAAACTATAACTATCACTCACTCCATCACCAACTTTGACCGTGTTTTTGGAATAAAACAGCGATTTTGCACTGTATTTTCGTATGGTATTTATTCTTGTATTCTAGTTTTTTTTTTGGTCTCATTTTATAGAATGGAAGACATTACAGAAATTGATATGATTTTGACTGGTTTTATGATGAAAAGTACCTTGAAATTGAGCTCAAAGTAGCAGAAATGTTCGATTTTTACCAATGTTCAAAAGCAAACAAATCATGCTAAGCGTCCAATACACGTCAACTGGTGAGTAATATTCTTTCACAAGTGTGCTGATATTATTTATACCATTTCTACACGAATGCAGTAGTGTGCATAACAGTAAATCTTCTATTTTTTGTAAGAATAAAAATTCAAAGTGGAAAGCCAAAGAAATATAAGAGGGGTCTGGGGATGTGACTAACGAACAGAGAACTTGTTATTTTAGTGCCAGGAATGCCTTTCTTGTTTATTCTGGACCCTATTCGGAAATTGGCATCTTTTGAAATTTGTGTGAAATTGGCAAAATTGCTAAATTCTGACCACTTTATTGGATAGTTGAAATTGGCAACTTGGTGGTTTCATGTACTCATTCGATAGAAAAAATGGAGTTCTAGCGAAATAGTTATGATTTTTGTCGACTAGTACACAGGAATGGGCCGAAAATTGGGCTCAAAATGGGCAAAATTGGTGATTCATAAACATTGTCGAGACCGCTAACTTTGCGAGAGCATAATTCCGTAATTTTTCCGTCAAATTTCATGCTTTTGGTGTCATTATGATCGGGAAAAGATTCTCTATCTTTTCATAAGAAAAAATAATTTTTTTTTTTTAATTTTGGCAACCCTGAGAACAAGTCTCTGAGAGGGTCTGGCGACCCCCAAAGGGTTAAGCGGTAAAAAATCATAATACATCACGACAATAAACTACAATTACATATTCACTTTATTTTTTGTAAGATCTGTTGGTCTAAAAAAAAGATGTTTGGCTTTTTGGGGGGCTCCCAGGAACATAACCCTATTTTTCCCATAAGTTCTTTAATTTGTCTAACACGGTTTTAACTACCATGGCATTTTCAGGAACATAACTACCATGTTTAATGACAGTTTACTGTAATTAAAATCTCTCTCCTCTAGTTACTCACACTTTTGCTACTTATTCCTCAAAAAACTTTAATTATAAGGTCTCTTCATTCAGATAAACCAAAGGAGATCTATTAAATATTTAATGTTAACTCACCTATCAGAGTCTGGCTTTTGTTCCCAAGCTTCACCTTGCTTCCAGAGCATACAGCCATGCATCTGGCCACACACACCAATCTTGCTCACTTTCCTCATTCCTTCCCTAGGAAGCCGCGAGACACACATCTGCAGTGCTGAGAGGATGCGTGGAACATCCTGTTTGTTGCCCTCTGTACCTGTTGTTGCAGTCAAACTTTAAACAAACAAGTTCAAGTTGCTTAGTAGGCTAAATCCCTATAAAAATAGAAGATAGTACTCCATACTACAATTACTTATTATGTTAGGGAGTGATACTGAGGTAACTAAGTCTTTAATCAGTGTTTTAGACTGAAGTTCATGACTGTTAGCATTTTAGCCATCTTGGAGTCTGCTGCATTATTTACTTACCTTAGCTACGTTGATCATACTGACATAAAATATTAATTAAAATGGTTGCAAAACCTGATTTAAAACTGGAGACAACATCCTAATAAATAATGCAATGCAAAAATCTGGGAAAACAGAATAAAGTAAATTACTGCATAACTCACTAAATTTGAAAACTCCTCATTAAAACTTTATGACTGCAAAGTTTTATTGCAAACATGTATGAAATATAGCCATTCATTGTTCTCTTCCTTTCTATAGATACAATTTGTTTGCAAAATGAAAAAAAAAAAAAAAGAAAGAAACAAGTTGGTTTAGGTTGGGGATGTGCTTTATAAGCAAGACTTCATTATGTACACTGTTTATATGACAAGGTAAACAGTTATTACAGCCCTGTTTCACAGCATCAGCATAATTTAGTGCCTTGCTGCACACTTTCCGTATCTTACTGAGAAAAAGAATGAGCATAGGATATAGTATGTACTACAAGACAAGAATAACCGTTGCTTGTATCTTTGAAAACTCAAGCCATGAAGACAGAGGCAAATGTGTTAGGTCAAAACTGCATGCTGGAAAAAGTGTATTACATAGCAACAGTGTTAATAACCACAAAAAATAAGAAAGGAAAACAATCAGTTATGCATTTTAGTAAAATTGTCACAATTTGTCAACACATGCTAGCATTGGGTATTATAATTATTAAGTTACCATGCACTATATAAAGAAGTGAAGTTTTTTCGTGTTTCTACCTTAATTTGACTCATGGTGGACAAAGTCACTTTTATACACAACCAATAGATAATTAGTAAAATCAAAATACACAGGAAACTCACATTTGTATGAAGGCATTAATAATATTGAGATAATGTATTTAAATAGACATTGTAATACAAGAATAACTCAGAGAAAAGGATGTATGTATGTATGTATGTATGTATGTATGTATGTATGTATGTATGTAGGTATGTATGTATGTATGTATGTATGTATGGCTCACTGAACTGATCTTTTACATTTTATTACTGTTGCTGTTTTGTAAGAGCCACAAAACCCCAAAAATTTTTATAATGGACCCTGAGTAGTACCGGTGACCTTGACAAAACAAAGTTTTGACTTAATCTCCAGTAAAGCTTAGCAATTCACACAGTAAATCATGATATAGTATCTCAGTTGAAAATATATAAATGGCAAAATGGTGTTTACCATTTTCTCAATTTTTTTTTGGTGTAGATTTATGCAATAATGTGAATAATTTCCATAGTTAGTATGCCATACTAAATGATAAATTGATAATTGTATTTCAGGTAGAGTACATAGTTTTGCATGTAAATATGATGTATCGGTGGTAGTGTTGCAAGTGATTGTTTGCAGTACAGTGTGGTGGAATCCTTAAATTCAGGCTTTCTATTTCACAGGCACTGAAATTATCACACTTAATACTGAAGGACCTCCCACAAATAGCTTCAAATTATCTGTTTTACAAATAAGAAAATAAAAATTACAAATATTCAATGTTTTTTCCACCCTTGACATCTAAAGAAACAACAAGGCAAACCATGTGACCAGCAAACCCCCCAAAACTGACTGCAGAAATAACTTAAAAAAAAAAAAAAAAAAAATATGTACTTGTAAATAACAGTTTATTAAAGAAAAAACTGAAAAAACAAGGCTCCAAGTTTTCATGTCTAAAGCATTAGGGACAACACAAAATTTTACAAATAAAATGCCTCAGAATTAATATTGCAATAACTGTTAAAGTATTGTATTTATTGATTCCATCATCAAAAAAATTTAAAAGTAAAATAATTGTAATTTTTAATATTAACAGACAGACATATTTAGAAGGAAGGATAAGAAGATATTCAATATAAATCACTGTATCTGTTGCAACTTGTACAGGTTGATGAACAAGGCATGTGCAACATCTGGGTATCTTTCTTTTGTAGATGTTTTGCCATCCAGTGGCTTTATAAATACAATCAAGTAACATAAACGGATGACTGTAAATGACAAGGTAATCAATCCCTAGCCTCACAGAAGACAGTAGACAAGAGACTGATCACCTCCTCTTCTACAGTCTTCTGTTTATGTGTCTGTATTATTTTGATAAACCCACCGGACAGCAAAATGTCTACACAATCAAGATATCCAGATATTGCACATGTGTTTAATTCATCAAGTTGTTGGTACTGTATACCACTGATATGATATCTGTAATGGGTTCTGAGGATCACTGCATCTGCAGCCCAGTCTTAGACCAGACCTAACCTGGAAAGGAAATATTACCAAACTAAGAACTACAGTATAGTATTAGAAAAACAAGAATGTAAAGATGTGCATACTAAATGTGAGTAGAAGATTGTAAGCTTTACCGGTCATCTTACATGCTTACAAAACAAAAAGTAAAGATCAGCAATCACTCAAGAGTGCAAAATATTTAACAGGCTACTATTCTGCACTAATCTGACAGGATGCTAGTACCTCTCTGTAGAAGTGCTATAGATCTACTTAGGGAAGTAATCACATGTTAGTAGAAATAATGCATGAAGTCACTTATGGTCCAAGTAATGAGAATGGTTAATACTGCACGAAGAAGGCACGATGACATATAAAAGTGGAAACTAAAACTTAAGTCAAACTTAAGAAAATCTAATGGAACCAGATATTACAAAGAAATCATATAATAAATTATATTACAAACTAATATGGAATGACATTTTGTGCCAAAAATCTGTAATTATCTAAACAAAATAGAATGGTTTAAGAACAGATGATGAACAGATATGAAAACTAAGCCAAGGACAAGGTAATCAATGTAGGACAATTATCAAGCTGAAAATATATCAAATACTAGAGGCCAAGTTACATTTAAATAAGTAAAAAATCAATAATTGTACTGTAAGAGGAGAAAATACACTTTGATTTCATAGTTTTATGCACTCCATACCTGTCATGTAGGTAGTAATGCAATTATCACTCTCTCTCACACACATCACAAATGCACTGAACCCCCACCCACATACACTGTTTTTGACATGAGAATGATATTACAGATGGTACTGAATCAGATATATCCCTGTTTAGTGATGACTTAAAACTAACAAGAATAAAAACAGATGAAGAAAAAGAATGGCTTCAAATGGATCTGGACTAATTGGAAGACAGGTTGGATAAGCAGTTGCTTGAATTCAGCCTAAGCAAATGTAAGGCTATGAAGATTGGGAAAGGGGAAAGAAGACCAGACACAAAGTATAGATTTGGGAACAGAGACTGTAGACTTAACCTGAAGGAAAAGACCTAGAAGTGACCGTAGTGCCTGACATATTGTCAGAGGCTCACATCAATCGAATAACTTCTATAGCCAATACTCATCTAGCAAATCTTAGAGTAGCCTTTAGGAATCGCAATAGTCATTCCAGGCCCTTTATACAAACGTGTCAGTCCCAGCTTGAAATATGCAGCACTAGCAGGGAACCTACACTAGAAAAAGTATATTAAGAAACTGGAGAAAATGCAGAAGTATACAGTAAGGTTTGTTTCAGAGTTAAGGAGTATAAACTATGAGAAGTGATTAATGGAATCTAATGCAACAACACTGAAAGATAGAAGAACAAGGGGAGATATGACAATATACAACATACTCAAAGAAAGTGAGAGGATAGACAGGGACATGCTGTTTGAGAGGCAAACAGGAACCCAGACACACAGCTGGAAGTAAAACACAAATGAGCCACAGGGATGTCAGGAAGTATTTCATCAGTCTTAAGAGTGGTTGAGCAGTAAAATGATCTCAATGAAGTGGTGGGAGCAGGTTCCATATAGTTTTCAGAGCAGGTATGTTAAGGCCCATGAAAATAGGAGGAAGTGAATCTTGGCAGGTGGTAACTTGAGGGGTAGGGCCAGGAGCAAGGACTTGACCCCTGCAACCACACAGAGGTTAGCAAGCCCTCCCTCCCTGCCCACACACACACTAACAAATGCAAATTAAGAGTGCACAGCTGTTGTATGTTGCACACATTGCAAGATGCAAAAGAGCAAAATATAAAATGACTAAGCTATACAGTAAAACAAAATGGATTTCAATAATGAAAAACATGAGCTATGAAGTGAGACTAAGAACATTAAAAATGTCTTCACTGTAAGCTAGATACTATAACCATACACAGAAAATGTGGAAAACAAAATTACTGAAACTACAGCAGGAAAAAAACAAGTGGACACAATCATAAATTATATAAAATGTGGAAAAAAAAGTCTTTGATGAATAAAATGAGCTGTAGAATGAAGGTTGTGTGCAAGAACTACAGTCAAGCACTAAAAACTGAGATTGACTGAGACAGGAGGCATTCTGAGCTCATAACCAATTCAACTTAACCCATTATAAAAACCAGAGGGGAAAATTTAAAGGAATAATTTAAAAAAAAAAAAAACTATTAGAGAACAAATAAGAAACAGGCCATATCACTGTGTGAGTACAAAAACTTTAAAATTTTCTGAAACGTCATTTTCAAAAATTTGGTGCTAGACTGCATCGCAAGCTCATAAATAATTTGAATAAATTTAAAACAGATGGAATACTTGAGTCTAATTACTCCTGTAACCATAAATAGGAAATTATACATAAACTATATACAATAGATGAGGAACACTGTAATGGAATCAAAAACACAAAATTAGTATAAAGTAACCAGAGGGTTGAAAGAACAGTTTTCATGGTATCTACATTACCGCTACTTCAAACTATTTCTGCGCACACACACACACATACAGATGTTGCTGCCTCTGAAAAACAGAATCCTTTTTCACAATCCTGAATGTGAACTGGGAAAAATAAATCTATGTACCTATTAGTCTACCTACTTTCCCGAGGGGTGAATACAGGAGAGTTTCCCTGGAGAATGACCATAAGCAGTCTTTCCACTAAGAAATGAGCATAGGCATGGTCCCCATGCAGGGTGACTATAGAGAACCATCTCCTGTGGAGTGACCATGGGTAGTGCCCAACCTTCCCCTTCCCCTTCCCCTTACACTACTCCTGCATAATCCCTTCATCTTTTAAGAGGGTGGGTGCCTTGATGCTGGCAAAGTGTACTTGATCCTAGGAATTAAAGAAATCCTCCCTTTCCCTGAATCAAACCTGATTACCTGCCTTTTCCCAGGCAATGTATGACCTCTACAGGTTTACTGCTTCCCAATACTAATACTAATAATAATACTAATAATAATACTAATAATAATACTAATAATAATACTAATAATAATAATAATAATAATAATAATAATAATAATAATAATAATAATAACAACAACAACAACAACTCCCTCTATTTCCACAACACTGCTCTACTCTGTAACCCTCAGGTACAAGACACTACCCAAACTAATCAGACATTAGCTGAAGAACTGTACATGGTGTCAGAAATAATTTGATATCTATATTTATATGGACAATTCATATGGAAGATAGATTTGCATGCTATCTATAACAATAATCCCAAAGCTGGCTCCACCCAAGCTTAACATACATTTTCTGAAAAACTCTCAATGCTGTCAGAAACAACTAAATAATGTCATAACTATAGTACATAGATAATAAATATTTGCATGCTAACTATAATAATCACAATTAAGGCTGTAAGAAACTCTTCTATGACTACTTCATAACTATAGACTGACAGCCAGCATTGGTCATTTCAATGAGGTTCATTTCAACTAAAGTGTATATGACAGAATTTTAAAAGAAATCTAAAAACTTGTAAGAAGCTGAGTGAAGTAGGAAGATGCATCTCCATCAATGAGTTTGCTATTTGTCAAGCAGCTGAGTTTTTATGACATACCAATTGTAATGTGATTATACTCTTCTAACTAACATAGCTTAAATCAAATCTAAACACTACTTGTATTCTGAATTATACATATTCTATTCTCTATCTTCAATTATGCCTTAACAACTGATCAAAATAAATTTACACAAGAAAGTCATACAAAAGAATTAAGTTCCTTGATATTAATGAAAGAATACAGAAATAAAAGAAATAAAAGAAGCAATAATAGATTTTTACATAAAGTGGAAGATGTCACTGTTTAAAAAAGATACACCATGTATTGTATACATTTTTTCATCTAATTACCTTAGGAAAACCACACCTTAAGCTCCATTATAACACTGATTTCCTTAATATTAATTATGTATAACTATCCCAGTTTGTGTCAACATGCAATGTTGTAATCAAGTGATTTGTTAGACAATGGAACAACAAAACAGACAAATTTATATTTACATGGGAAGCATTCTTTCTCAGCAATGAGTGTTTTATCTCTCCTAAGAATAAGATTACTTCCACTAAATATAAGAATAAAACCAAGAACAGTGATAAGACCAATTAAACTTGTTACAGGCTGATGGCTAAGAGAGCATTTTCTCATATTCAACAAAATTTTGCATATCACTTGTGATTACAGTATAAAAGTAGAAAGCTCAAGGACTGAAGCATGACAACCACTCCATGTTGGAAAGGAAGGCAACACATGGGTAATTACACCTACCATCCGACTTACAACCTGCTCGACTTACGACCACTTGACTTACGACCACTTGACTTACGACCGTGTTTTTTATGCCAAATTTCTGGGAAATAAACAACTACACCTACCATCCGACTTACGACCTGCTCGACTTACGACCACTCGACTTACGACCATGTTTTTTATAAGATAAGATAAGATTTCGTTCGTATTTTTAACCCTGGAGGGTTAGCCACCCAGGATAACCCAAGAAAGTCAGTGCGTCATCGAGGACTGTCTAACTTATTTCCATTGGGGTCCTTAATCTTGTCCCCCAGGATGCGACCCACACCAGTCGACTAACACCCAGGTACCTATTTGCTGCTAGGTGAACAGGACAACAGGTGTAAGGAAACGTGTCGAAATGTTTACACCCGCCGGGAATCGAACCCGGGCCCTCCGTGTGTGAAGTGGGAGCTTTAGCCACCAGGCCACCGGGCCACAGCCAAATTTCTGGGAAATAAACAACTATTTGTGTTGTACACAGTGTTTATCCTAAACCTTACAGTATAAAATACAGTACTAACAACATAAAAAGTAAAGTAAAACATGAAATACCAAAATAAAACAATAAAATAAAGTCATTACAAAAATGTTTTGTTGATATTCAGTAGTAAAGTTCGACTTATGACCATTTCGACTTACGACCGGTTTCTCGGAACTGAACTCGGTCGTAAGTCGGATGGTAATAGAAATTTATACTTAGGGGAAGCAAGGTACAATTGGCTGCTAACATGTCATGTAAAGAGAATTTGTTTTGAATTAATACTACCAGTTTAATGTCTGATGATGTTGATAGCAACTATTAAAATGAAATTTCCAAAATTTAAGCAAAAAAATTAATATGGTGCAAACATTTTTAAAAGAACTGTAGCTTCATTTGTAAGAAATTTTTAAAAAAAGCAAAAACAATTTAGTAAAACAGACATCACTTGTATTGGTTGTCCTACAGCAACTTGGAAAGCAAAGAAAACAAAAGAATTAGAGAGACTGAGGTAAGGATATATATATACATATATAGCATAGAGAAGAACGAAAGGTGGATTGGAAAACCCATTCTAATATTAGAGCTTTATGAATTTCATCAGGGCATTCCACTAACTAGTCCACTTCATCAAAAATAAAAATATCACATCATAAGATGTGATCATTTGGTTTATAGAACTATATGTGCAAAATAAATCAATTTCACCAAGATAGATACTGACATGTAAGAGTTTTATGAAAGAAAAATGCCAACAGAAGAAACAACAATCAATTATTCAAACAAAATAAAATAAACAGTATCATATGTGGACAATGGCACTATTGATCTCTCAATCATTAAACTGCATCAATACAGATGTCTCCAGTATTTTTTTTATTTTTGCTACCTTCTCCCTGGCTAAATACTGAGTGTGCTATTTTATTTAGTGAAGCCCAATTATTTATGGGAGAACAATGTACTTCTTATATTTAGTAGCAGCAATCCATTTAAGGATTAAAACTTCTACTGATGGCAATCTCAACACCACAATATGTTTTAAAAGTTGCAAATGTAAGATACTTTGTTATCCATTCTGTTACCCAATAGAGGTTATAAGGATTATCTTTCCCATGGCCCAGTCTCAAACTAAGCCTCCTAGGATGGAAAAGAAATATTACATGATTAAAATCTATTAAGAAATGCATAGGAAACTAAAGGGTTTGTGTACATGGAATGTAAGTTGAAGTTTGTAAGAGCTTCATTTTCTAAAATGTTCATGAGACAGAGGAAACATCAGCATTCCTACCAGAGTGCAAAAAATTTAACAGGTTTCCATTTCACACTCATTTGAAAGGACAGTAAAACCTCCCTCCTGAATGGTTACTGTCTACCAAGTAGCCTCCTACTTGGAGGAATACCATCCAGACCAGGAAGACAGCAGAGAAGTGATCCCATTCTGCACCCAATAAGAAAGATCACTGGTATCACTGGTAAGAAGAGTACAGTGAGATGACAGTAGTAATTACCAAGTTCACTGGGAACGTCTGAGTATGTGTCTTTTTTCTGGCTAGAGATGACTTCCTTGGACAAAACATCCACTAGACAACACTTCACTGATGTTGTCCCTATGTCAATTCCCAAAACACATTGATTTGAACTCATCCTGTAAAAAAACAAAAAAAAAAAAAATGTATAAATAAAGTATCCTAATATTATCCAAATATACACAATATGACTGTTATCTTTAAATTTAATACAAAATTTACATATTTCAAATGAAAAATTACATATTCTATACCATAAATTAAAAATGGCAGAATTATTTCAGATCCATAAATGTAAATAACATTAGTGTGTTAATATACCAATTATAACTAAGAATTCATGCATTATGACAATAAATACAGTAGAATGACTTGGAGAGCGTATAACTCTATTGGGGAAAGAAAGCGGGGTAGGGGCCATCCCCAAAAAGGTTGGAGGGAGGGGGTAAACAAAGTTTTTTTGAGCAAGGGACTTGGATTTCCAGCAAGCGTGTGTGAGCGTGACAGATAGGATCAATTTCTTTAGTATTAAGTAATATGTAAGCCATTAAATTAAGTCTGCCCATAATGCCTAGGCATGATAGTGGCTCTCTTTGCACTGTACCCAATTACTGTAATTTCATAATCTCAATGAAACCTTGCAAATAAATAAACTTTGTTTTGTTTTGTTTTGTTTAATGGAGACAAATGGTTTTTGGGACCTGATGAGCTGTTGAAGTGTGATGTTTTGTGAAGGGATTCAGGGAAACTGGTTAGCCGGACTTGAAATGGGAAGTACAATGCCTGCACTTTGACCCTTTGACTGTCGTGACCCCAAAATATTAAAAAAAAAAAATTACTTTTTCTCATGAAATGATAATCTTTTCCCAGTGGTAATGACGCCAAAAGTATGAGATTTTATTAAAAATTATGGAATTACGCTTTCGCGAAGTTGGTGATCTCGGTGATATATACGCATCGGGATTTTCACCCACTTTGAGCCCTATTTTTGGCCAATTCCATTGCTCCAGTCGACCAAATTCATAGCTATTTCTTTAGAACTCCATTTGTTCTATCCCTTGAGTACAAGAAACTGCCCATTTACCGATTTCAACTACCCAATAAAGTGGTCAGAAATTAGCAATTTGGCCAATTTCACGCAAATTAAAAAAGATGCCATTTTCAAAAGTGTCCAGAATAAACAGTGCAGACATTCCTGGCACTAAAACAACATTTTCTCTGTTCATTAGTCATGTCTCCAGGCCCCTCTTGTATTACTCTTGCTTTCTATTTCGAATTTTTATTCACACAAAAAATAGAAAGTTACTGTTATGCAGACTACTGCATTATTGTTACACAGTGGTACCTCAGGATATGAACAGCTCAAAATTCGAACAGTTATGCAAGTGTATTTATATAAGTGCTTTCGTTAGTGTATTTTTGGGGGTCAAACAGATTAATCTAATTTACATTATTCCTTATGGGAACAAATTCATTTGGTATCAGCACTCGAACAGCCTTCTGGAACGAATTAAGTTTGTATCCCGAGATACCACTGTACCTGTATAAATAATGTCAACCCATTTGTAACTGCATATTAAACTGGCCATGTACAATGTCATTTTTCCTTTACATACATACCCATGATAAAGTATAACTGAAAAATTATGCAAAATAAGCCTAAAATTAACACTTTCATTGATGGTAAGCATTTCACGGCTTCTCTTAGGCTTTGAAGACCTGCCAGCTTGTCTATTTTTGTGCTTCAGGGCAATTATTAAGCAAAATTAAGGGTTAGTTTTGAGTCAAAGTAAACCGTTGATAACTGAATCCGCGAATATCGAATCCATAGATACAGGGGCCCTACTGTATCTATGTGTACTTGTACCTAAATAAACTTACACACTGTGCTGGCATGAAGGTACACATTAAGATCACTAAGTGTGTCTCACTAGTGTTGGTAGATGGCTGTGTTGAAAAAATAATACATAATAATAATAATAATAATAATAATTACTCTGGGGTGCTTTAAATATTATATATTATGTTATTATAGACATTTTATTAACCCTTTCAGGGTCCACAGGCCCTCTCAGAGACTTGTTCTCAGGGTCCACCAAATTTCAAAACAAAAAAAATTATTTTTTCTTATGAAAAGATAGAAAATCTTTTCCCAATCATAATGACACCAAAAGTATGAAATTTGATGGAAAACTTACGGAATTATGCTCTCGCGAAGTTAGCGGTCTCGACGATGTTTACGCATCAGCGATTTTGCCCACTTTGAGCCCTATTTTCAGCCAATTCCAATGTACTAGTCAACAAATATCGTAACTATTTAGCTTGAACTTCATTTTTTCTATCAAATGAGTACAAGAAACCACCAATTTACCGATTTCAACAATCCAATAAAGTGGTCAGAATTTAGCAATTTTGCCAATTTCACACAAATTTCAAAAGATGCCAATTTCCAAACAGGGTCCAGAATAAACAAGAAAGACATTCCTGGCACTAAAATAACATTTCCTCTGTTCATTAGTCATGTCCCCAGGCCCCTCTTACAATCTTTGCTTTCCATTTTGAATTTTTCTCACAAAAAATAGAAGATTTACTGTTATGCAGACTACTGCATTGGTGTAGAGATGGTATAAATAATATTGGCGCACTTGTGAAAGAATATTAGACTCACCAGTTGACGTGTATTGGACGCTTAGCATGATTTGTTTACTTTTGAACTTTGGCAAAAATCGAACATTTCTGCTACTTTGAGCTCAATTTCAAGGTACTTTTCATTGTAAAACCAGTCAAAATCCTCTCAATTTCTGTAATATGTCTTCCATTCTATACAATGAGACCAGGAAAACTAGAATACAACAATAAATACCATACAAAAATATAGTGCAAAGTCACTGTTTTAATCCAAACACACGGTCAAAGTTTTTTTTTCTCATTACGCACTGTGTGCTGCAGGATTTTTTTTATACTGCACACACTGACCACATAGACCCATTCTTTCATATGTAAGCCTACCAGCTTTCTCTTACTAGATTTGAAGGCGCCAGAATTTATGAGTACTAGTACGTCATGGACCCTGGTGCGTAAGCCGTACTAGTATGGCCAAAACCCTGAAAGGGTTAATCCAGCTATGATATTTTTTCAAAATTATATAAGAAACCTGCTATATATCATATAAACATAATACATATAAACACAGTATAACAAATTGATGTCAACATGAGAGATGGTAGCCAGGTGGCTTGTTGGAGTGACAGGCAAGAATTATGTTTCCTTTCATTTGTCTTTACTCATAGCATCATTCCCTCTAAATATGGTGTTGCATGAGAATGGGAGTGTTGCTGTTATTTATTCTAATGCACCAACATGAAAACAATTTGTACACAATGTAAGGTGTTTGTATTGTGGGGAAAAAGCTTCACAAACACATGCATAATGTGAAATAAATGCATATGAACAGCAAGTGAACAAGTATTAACCCTTTCAGGGACGCCAGGCCCTCTCCGAGACTTGTTCTCAGGGTCGCCAAATTTTCAAAAAAAAAAAAAAAAATTCTTATGAAAAGATAGAGAATATTTTCACGATCATAATGACACCAAAAGTATGAAATTTGATGGAAAACTTGCGGAATTATGCTCTCGCGAAGTTAGCGGTCTCGACGATGTTTATGCATCGGTGATTTTGCCCACTTTGAGCCCTATTTTCGGCCAATTCCAGTGTACTAGTCAACAAAAATCATAACTATTTTGCTAGAACTCCATTTTTTCTATCGAATGAGTACAAGAAACCACCCATTTACCAATTTCAATTATCCAATAAAGTGGTCAGAATTTAGCAATTTTGCCAATTTCACACAAATTTCAAAAGATGCCAATTTCCGAACAGGGTCCAGAATAAACAAAAAAGACATTCCTGGCACTAAAATAACATTTCCTCTGTTCATCAGTCACGTCCCCATGCCCCTCTTACATTCTTTTGCTTTCCATTTTGAATTTTTATTCTCACAAAAAATAGGAGATTTACTGTTATGCAGATTATTGCATTAGTGTAGAAATGGTATAAATAATACAGCACACTTGTGAAAGAATATCAAACTCACCAGTTGACATGTATTGGACACTTAGCATGATTTGTTTACTTTTGAACTTTGGTAAAAATCAAACATTTCTGCTAATTTGAGCTCAATTTCAAGGTACTTTTCATTTTAAAACTAGTTAAAATCATCTCAATTTCTGTAATATGTCTTCCATTCCATAAAATGAGACCAGGGAAACTAGAATACAACAATAAATACCATACGAAAACACAGTGCAAAGTTGCTGTTTTAATTCAAAAACACGGTCAAAGTTTTTTTTTCCTCATTACACACTGCGTGCTGCAGGATTTTTTTTATACTGTGCAAGTAAGTAAGTTTATTCAGGTATACACAAATACAGTTACATAGAATTATCATACATAGCAGCATATGTGTAGAGAACCTAGGATAACCCAAAAAAGTCAGACAGAGTGACTTATTTCCATTGGGGTCCATTGGGCACACTGATCACATAGACCCATTCTTTCATATGTAGGCCTACCAGCTTTCTCTTACTAGATTTGAGGGCGCTAGAATTTAGGCGTACTAGTATGTCAAAAACCCTGGTGCGTAAGCCGTACTAGTACGTCCGAAACTCTGAAAGGGTTAATGTGAGTTCATCTGATGGCCCACCACCCACCCACTCTCAGTTTGTTTACATTCTTTGCATCTCTTTCATACTCTCTGGTTTACTTATCTCATTTACTGGTTCTCTCATTTACTTATTTTCTCATTTACTCATTCTGTCTCATTTACAATGGCATCTAATGGTTGTTGTGATAAAAAGAGGAGTTGCAAGCACTTTAAGTGCCATGTTAGAAACAATCACACTCAGTGAACAAGATATATCGATGGCAGTAAGCAAAATAATAATGATCACTCTCAGGTGCTTTGAATGTCCTATTATGTTTTTATAGACATTTTCATTAATCCATCTATTACATTTTTTTCAAAATTATATAAGAAATACACTATACATGTATATCACAAACAAAATACAGTGGACCTCCAGTTTTCGTACGGTCCACATATTGTACAATTAGGTTTTAG